CGCTATAACAATAAAAGGGTCTTGGCATCCACCTTAATTGATGAACTGTTAAATCAGTCATCAGGCACTTCAATCGTGGTAGCAGTTAAAAATTTACACGATTCAATAAAAGAATGCCTATTAGCACAACCATTTTGGCATGCAAACTACACTTTAGGACCCAATTTTGCTCCAGGTACTAATAAAAAAACTTTTTTTTTTTTTTTTTAAACTTCATTTTATTAAATACAATCTATTCTATTCATGAATAATAAGTACTACTTATGGCAATAACAATATATGATTGGCATGTACGGGACTACCCAGTGGTAATCACCGCCTTATGAAGAATTACAATTTTTAGAATCTGCTCGGCAAATCCGAAGTTGCATAGCGTATTAATCTACGAATGTTAAAAGCATCCCTCGTTAGGCCTGCGGCAAGGGGGTTAGGATGAACTACCAGTCGTGAGTGATAGTTGCTGCTTATCTGCTGTATTGACTCGTACACAGTAGGGATGCCAAGATCATGATGTAGGACGTTATTCGGGATAAACCATGGGGCGTTGGCGCAGATACGTAGTATTTTTGATTGAAACCTCTGAATCATATCTAGGTTTGACTTCGCTGCTATACCCCAGATGGGTATACCGTACGTCCAGATTGGCTTTAAGACGACCTTGTATAAAAGTATTTTATTTTGTAGCGATAATTTGGATTTGGGATTAAGTAGCCAGTAAAGTGAGCGTAGCTTTAGTCCTAACTGCTTCCGTTTTGTAAAGATGTGGTGACGCCAATTTAGACGGCGATCAAAATGTACACCTAGATATTTGGCGTTTTCAGCTTGCGGCAATTCACGGCCATTCAGTCTAACGGAAGGGCAGGTACCGTGGCGGAGTGTAAAAGTAGTTTGAACTGATTTGTTATCGTTAGCTTCAATGTGCCAAATGTCTAGCCATGCGTTGACATCGTTCAGATTACTTTGCAAAAGTTGTGAAGCTACTACAGGATCTGCGTGTTTCGCCATCACTACAGTATCATCCGCAAATGTTGCAGTGTATGTTTTATCGCTGAGTGGGAGATCTGCTGTGAACAGAGTATATAGAGTAGGACCCAACACACTTCCTTGGGGAACTCCAGCCTCTATTTGAAAAAGTTCAGTGTGACAGCTATTCATTTTAACCATAAAGTGCCGATCTAGTATATATGATTTTAAGACGGAGAAGTAGCTATGCGGGAGTTGTAACTTTAATTTGTAGAGAAGTCCAGTGTGCCATACTTTATCGAATGCTTGTGTTATGTCGATAAAAAAACTTGATCGGACGATGCTCATTAGGTATGAGCAATCACTGTCAAAACCATAAGAAATACAAAATATTCATTAGTTTTTAGCTTTACTAGAGCTACAATTTCAACGGTCGTTAGCACAATTACATTTGGGACTCAAGCAACTCCTTATCTGTTAACAAGATGTCTGCAGAAGATAGCATTAGAAAACAAGGTGAACTATCTATTAGGAGCTCAAATCCTGTGTGATAATTTCTACGTTGACGATGAGCTCAGCGGATCAGATAGTTTAAATACGGCTATCGAAGCTCAAAGCCAACTAATCCATATTTTGAAAAAGCATCATTTTTATTCACGAAAATGGAGCGAAAACCATCGTCAACTTTTGAAAAACATTTCTCAAGATGATCAAGAGGTAAATCTAGATTTTACTAATGATAATAACGAATCAATCAAAACGCTGGGATTATTTTGGTTGCCCAAAGCGGATTTATTGGGAATTAAGGTCAAAATGGTTACTGAAGGGATAATCACGAATAGAGTCGTTAGTTCTGATTTAGCTAGACTGTTCGACCCACTTGGTTTATTAGCTCCAGTAATAGTGAAGGCGATGATTTTCATAAAACATTTATAGCAGTTGAAATTATCTTGGGATGAACCACTGCCTACAGATCTTCATACAACATGGTCAACATTTAGAGAAAGTTTAAGTACTTTTAAAAAACTTTAAGTGGCAAGACATATCTTCAGAGGCGAGGGTCCATCATCAACGCAGATACACATTTTTGCTGTCGCATCTGAAAAGGCATTTGGTGCTGCAGCATATGTCAGAGCAATTTTAAAGGATGGCAGAATAATAGTGCGACTATTATGTGCAAAGTCAAGAGTAACACCACTCAGAAAATAGACGCTACCATGACTAGAGCTGTGTGCGGCAGTCCTAGCAGCGGAACTTTGAACAAGAGTCAAAAGTGATCTTCAGGAGAAGGACCAGCCGGTATTTTTGTGGACTGATTCAGAAATTGAATTATTTTGCATCAATTCACAGTCCTCATCATTTCAAACATTTGTAGCTAACAGGGTGGCAAGACTTCAAACATTAACTCTGTCTGAGCAGTGGCGACGTGTTAGGTCAAAGGACAACCCAGCTGATGTGTTATCAAGAGGACTTTCAGCAAGGGCGTTGTCAACATGTGCACTTTGGTTTTAAGGCCCGTTCTACTTGCATGGAAGACAGGAAGTATAGCCACCAAGGTTTTCGGCATCATTACAAGTTCCAGTTGCTTTGAAGAAGAAAAAGGTTGTAGCTGTAGCAACTCAAAGCAATGACGCAGATTTCATATACAAGATTCAGCACAAGAATTAATTCAAGACGTTGCAAAGGATAGTAGCATATGTTTTTAGATTCACTAACAACACAAGAATATTAAAGGAGTTACATGCCATACATATATCACCTATTGCTAACGAATTGGAAGCAGCATTAATCACTATAATCTGTCACATTCAGGGTAGTGATTTTAATCAAGAAATCAAACAACTGAAGAATCAAGGCAATGTTGATAAATCTAGTTCAATCAGCAGTTTATCTACATTCATTGATAATTCAAATGTCCTCAGAATAGAAGGACGCATAGAAGCCTCATCATTACCATACGACTCTAAACACCCAATGCTGGTTCCATACAATGATTCATTGACAAAATTACTGTTCGTGTTGGAGAACCAAGAATAACTCCTGCAGGACCCTTAATTAATTAATTCTGGGGTAGACTATTGCGAACCATTTTGGATCCACTACAAGATGAGAGGCAAGAGGAAAACAAAGGCATATATTGCTGTCTTTTGTTGCTTTGCCACAAAGGTGGTACATCTCGAGTTAGTGACTGATTTATCAACAGATGCTTTCATTGGAGCATAAAAACGATTCATAAGTCGACGAGGGCGTAGTTTGAATATTTACAGTGATAATGCAACAAACTTCGTTGGCGCGAAAAACCAGTTAGCAGAACTAGAGGAAAGCATTTATTCTAATGAAGGGCAAGAAGCAATAATCTCTGTTTACAGTACTGCAGGAATAATTTTTTATTTTATTCCACCAAGGGCTCCACACTTTGGCGGTTTATGGGAAGCATCCGTAAAGTCTGCAAAATATTTGTTACAGCGTTTCAACAGCATTATTGACGTATGAAGAACTAGAAACAGTGGTGGTGGAAGTTGAAGCAATTTTAAATTCACGACCATTGACTTCAATGTCCAATGATCCAACTGATTTGGCAGCATTAACTCCAGGACACTTATTAATTAGAGAAGCTCGTATAACTCAAATAGACAGCCGGTCAAAACCAGAGAAAAACACGTTACTGTCATGTTGGAACCTAGTTATTTGATGGAACCGCACCAACGTAACAAATGGAAAGCACAATCTGCCAATATACAGTTAGGAGACATGGTTATAATCAAAGCAGACAACGTCCCAGTTATGCAGTTATGGCTCTTGGGACTAATTGTACATGTGTGCAAGGGTACAGATGGATGTATCCGAGTAGCTGACGTTAAAACATCGACAGGCATTTGTAAACGCCCAATTCATCGAATAGCTGTACTGCCTCTAAATACAGATGATCAACCAACAATGGCTGAAGCTGATCACGAAATACCTCCTGACAACTTAATTATTGAAGATAAAAAAGAATCGTATGAAGAGCCCAAGAAAAAACGTAGAAAACTGCCGACTAATTTGTACTGTTCTGTATTACTTACACCATTACTGATATTGCCAATAGTAATAAGGTCTCCAATTAACAATAAAAAGTTTGGGTCGAAGTTGGGTATTCACTTTGAAAATCTGGACACAGCAGCCATATCAACTACTGAATGGAATCTATTAGTCTATTTCGACTTAAATCTTTATTGGACGGAAGCATCAGCTCTAAGTACAGGAATAACGTCACTTGTCAAGAAATGAAATCAAACGCATCATGTGCGAGTACAGTTTAAACATATTGAATTCGAACTACAACTCCAGGATAAATTACTTTAAACATATTGAATTCGAACTACAACTCCAGGATAAATTACTTCATGACCAACGCTCCAAACCATTACTCTTCAATTGATCTTGTAGGCAATATCGCTGTTTGGAGTATTGAACTCAGAATATGCTAAAGGAATGTCAAATATCATTTCAGAAGTGAAACAAAATGAAATGCAATTATTGACGCTATTTAAGAATCAAACATCAGTGGTCGATTCAACAATCAATATAATGAAGAAAGATAAAATCGCAGTTCAAGAAGGTTTTGAGCACATTGACAATGAAATAAAGGCACTGATGAATTCCATAAAAGATACAAATGAGATGTAAATCAGGTACGGCTCAATCAAGATTTCAATGCAGGAGCCATTCAACTAACACTGGTAGCACATAATCTACAGAAGATTCAATCTGCCATTATAGATACTCTAACTGATACTCATCATGGAAAAGTAAATCCGTTGTTATTGACACCAACACAATTATAAAAGGAAGTCAATCAAATCAAACTTTATTTATCGCCATCATTAGAATTACCGATGCCAGAAGATGAGCTGATATCCCTTTACAGACTAATAAAGGTTAAAGGTGGAATCACACAGTAACATGCAGTTTTTAGTATAACACTACCTTTGATTGAACATGAACGATTTAAATTGTTTCAGCTAATTCCAATCCCAAACTGGTTAAATGACTCCATGGCGGTAATTGACTCATGCAGTTCTATTTTGGCTTTTAATATGCATAATGATCAATATTTTCCTCTTATGAAATCCGATTTAAGTCTTTGTGAGACCATAAAGGTCGGGGAATTTCTTTGTGCCAACATCCGCATACGATACAATGTTGGTTCCGAAGCATGTGCGTGTGAAATCAACCTATTAAACAACAACACAACACCAAACTGTCGGTTGAAACACACTGTCAACACTCTGACTTGGATTCCCTTGAATCACAAAAATCAATGGATTTATGCGACATCAACATCTTCACGAGCAACTGCAGTATGTAATAAGGAAATCATACCACTAAATATAAAAGGTTCAGGCTTATTGACGATCGATCCAGACTGCGTGCTTAAAAATAACTTCGTTTCCGTGCAAGGACAACAAATAATTGCAAGCACGTCAAGATATTCATACAGTAGTCTTGGTAAAATCTTCGAATTAAGGCTACAATCCCCTATGAAGACATCAGATGCTTACAGCAGCAACAGTACACTGTCAACATTATGCTACAACCAATACGATCAACAGCTGAAAGAGCTCACAGTATTGCAGAAGGTTTTGCAGTCTTTCCAGATAAATGATCTTCCAAATCAATTTCAGTCACAAAAGTACCACAGCTTCACCATAGCTTACGCAGCACTCGTTATAAGTGTGACATTAATCATTATCATGATGAAGAAGAAATTGCAGAAAAAACCGGTAAACCCAATTGAAGCTCCATCCGATAAAGAAGCCACCCGCACGACACCTGCACCCATGCCACGTCGACAGTCACGAGAATTCGTCGTTGACATATAGTCGGACTGACTGCCTGACAACTAGAGGTTTATATTGTTGAACGGTCGTTTAACGCTGGGGAGAATGTTAAATGTTATGAATTGTATAAATTTATTTGTTTGTATTAATTTGCTTGTAATAATTGTTTATATTGTTTAAAATAATTTGTTTGTCTTAATAATTTGTTTGAAATATATTTTATTGTAAAAAATAACTTTGTCAATGCAATGTCCTAACTATAGCGTACCATATCGCGTGCCCGCCAATGCGTACTAAACGTAGATCTCAACCTCCTTAGTGGAATAAGGAATTGGGATCAAAAAGACGCTACGTTCGCGAAATCTTCAAGCTGGCTCAGCTAGCAGAAAGTGAAGTCATCTGGGAAGAGTACAGAGATATTCTTAAGCAATACAAAAAAGACATTCGAAATGCGAAAAGAAACTCCTGGAAGGATTTTTGCGCAGGTATAGAAAAGACGGTGGAGGTAGCTAGGCTTAGAAAACTACTATCCAAACACCCAACTATGCCTAACCTTGTCAGGAAGGAAAATGGCGAATGGACAAAAACTAACACTGAATCACTTGTAGATCTTACTAACACTCACTTTCCTGGCTGTGCAATTGTGAGCAATACCGAACCGGTCAGGAATATAGTAGGCTCCGCAGGAAAAAATATTGTTACTCACGTGAGGCTGGAATGGGCAATCAAATCATTCGCTTCATACAAATCTCCTGGACTTGATGGTATTTATCCAGCTATGATACAAAAGGCTTCGGACCTAATAAAAACATGGCTGATAAATATCTTTAGAGGATGCCTGAACCATAATTACGTACCCGTAAACTGGCGAGTGGCAAGAGTCATTTTTATTCCGAAAGCAGGAAAAAATGGTCACCTCTACTCTAGAGATTATAGGCCAATTAGTCTTACCTCTTTTATTCTCAAAATTTTTGAAAAAATACTAGCAGCACATGTAGGAGACCAATTAGCTCCTGAAATTCTGTCAAGAGCACAACACGCTTATACTAAGGGCAGATCCACGGAGACTGCTCTCCATACACTTGTCTCTAATATTGAAAAGGCCTTAGAATACAAAGAATACGCTCTAGGAGTTTTTCTGGATATTGCGGGTGCTTTCAATAATGTATCAACGCAAGCTATTTTAAATAGCTTAGATGATGTTGGTATAGACTCAGTCACATATCAATGGATTGCAAGCCTTTTAAGCTGCAGACAGATAAGGGCAGAATGGAACGATACAACTCTAGCTAGGGAAACATGTAGAGGAACCCCGCAGGGAGGCGTTCTCTCACCCCTTCTCTGGTTACTGGTAATCAATAAAATTCTTAAACAATTTGATGGTAAAGCTCCGAAACTAATTGCATATGCGGACGACATCGCAGTAGTTATAACGGGAAGATGCCTATCTACTCTAAGTGCGTTAATGAGCGACGCTCTCAAATCAATTTACAACTGGGCGACTGACGCTGGCTTAAGCGTAAACGCAGAAAAAACTGACACAATACTTTTCACAAGAAAGTACAAGGTCACAGCATGGACGCCACCTAACTTGAACGGAACTCTTCTGCCACTGAAAACTCAAACGAAATACCTTGGAGTAATTGTGGATAGCAAACTGGCGTGGAAGCCTAATGTAGAAGAACGGGTAAAGAAGGCAACAAATGCTTTATACGCATGTAAAAGGGAAGTACATGGGGTCTCTCACCCGGTCTTATGTACTGGTGCTACACGGCTATAGTTAGACCTATATTACTTTACGGTATATTAGTTTGGTGGACAGTTGTGAAAAAGAAAACATATATAAAACCCCTGGAAAAGGTCCAAAGACACTCGGCGATGTGCATCACCGGTGCAATAAGAACAACTCCGACGGCAGCTCTAGAAACTATACTAAACTTACCCCCAATTGATAGAGAATATGGCGGCAAAAACAGCCGAACGGCTACGCATTACTGGGCAACTTACTCGAAGATCTTTCGGGCATAACGTTGTAAATCAGAACACCACTCTTGATTCGGATTATATGATTCCGATCATGTACCCCGGAGCAACAATAAAAACTGTGATCGAAAACGAAGGATGGAAAAAAGGCATGGTGCCAAAATGCAACACCATAAATGTTTTCACAGACGGTTCAAAGATGGAAGTGGGAGTAGGAGCTGGCATATATTGTGCGGAATTGAGCACAAGAATGCCGTTTAAACTTCCCAACTACTGCAGTGTATTCCAAGCAGAAGTGTTTGCTGTTAAGAAAGCGGCGGAGCTTGTGTATAGGGATGAAACCAGAAACTACTGCATAAATTTCTATGTGGATAGCCAAGCAGCCATTAAGGCGATCAAATCTTACTGGTCATCATCCAAAAATGTTCTAGAATGCAAGGAAGCTATAACAAGACTAGCCTGCAACCGCAGACTTTGTATGTACTGGATTCCTGGTCATAAAGGCATAGAGGGAAATGAGACAGTTGATGCTATTGCTAAAAATGGTGAAAAACTTTCAGAGGTACAAACGAGCGAAGTACTTAGACCTCTGAAACAAATACATAAACTTCTGGACGAGCACATGATAAGGAGAGCAAAGGAAAGGTGGCGGAACTTAACCACCTGTAGAACAGCTAGAATTATGTGTAGGCACATATATGAAGAAAAATACACCAAGAATGTTATATCGTTAAACCGAAGGAACTGTAGAACATTAATTGGTGTGTTGACAGGTCACTGTTTGGTTGCATCACATGCCCGAAAACTAAACCTAATTCACAACGATGCTTGCAGAAAATGCAATGAGCCGGATGCAAAGGAAACTCTAGAGCATCTGATGTGTAATTGTCCGGCTCTCTCGAGAACTCGACAAAAATACTTGGGAGCTTTCAGTTTTGCAGGACTGGAGTACATACCTGAGGTTTCTGTTGGAATCTTAATAAATTTTGCTAATGAAACGCGCATCTTAAGTGATGCTTACAATCGCTAAAACAAGACTCTGATCTGGTATCGCAATGGACCCTAGTGCTCTACGCGTGGCCTTTATGGCCTGCCAGCATAATCTAATCTAATCTAATGTCCAAAACACGTCAAATTTCGTCTGCAAGAAAATGCACTCTTGCAGTTTGTAACAAGTTCTTTGTTTGGCATGCATGGTCAAAGTTATTTTAGTTAATTTATTTGTCGTAATTGATAATTAATTTTTAAATAAAAAGCACAATTGAATTTTTGACAATTTAATTGATGCGAAGCCACATTCGTTATTGATTCCCTTCTTTATTCTATTAGCTTTGTAAATTTAGTTCAAGTGCTAAATTTACGTCACATAAGCATCTTATCACTGGATTTACCATAAGTGTTCAGTGATTAGGATAATTAGGATAATCGTCGAAATTTCTGGGTTCAAGTACTCAGTGGTTTTCTTGTTTGATAGAATCAACATAAGTACTGGATTAAAGTGTTCAGTACTTGCAAATAGTTGATTCCAACGTTTTGATCAAACAGAACTGATAATGATCGTTACTAGTGGAAAATGGTGTTAATGATCTGGAATCTTTTTCTAATTATATTTAATGGAATGAACTTGTAATATCCCATGTTGAAAAGTATTTAGCTCTTCCTATCCTGTCTAGTACGTCTTCTAATTGTGTAAGTGGAAATTTATCACTAACTAATTTTTTATTGAGCTGCCTGCAGTCTACTATAAGTCTCCATTGTTTTTTATCATTAGTACTCTGTTTTGGTACAACTAAAAGTGCAGAGTTATATGCACTTGTGGATTATCATTCAATAATATTTATTTTTAATAAATCTTGTACTTGATCGTTTATTTCCTGTTGTTGAGATTATGGAAGCCTGTAATTTTTTATATAAATGGGTGAGTTATCAATTGTTTGTAAATGTTGTTTGTAGAAATTATTAATAGTTAATTTGTCTCCTTCAATATGAAACATATCTTGAAAATTCTTGCAAATTTCTTCTATAGATTTGCATGCAATACTGTCTTGATTATCTAATTTAAGTAAATTTTTGAGTTTCTTTCAACGTTCATTGGAATGCTTGAGTTTGTTATTCGAGATTATATTGAAATGTCTTAAAGGTATTAGGGGTATTCAGGCAACTGATTCGTTGTTTAGTTGATTCAAAAACTTCATATAAAAAAAATTTAGCATTTTGATGTTAATCAGTTGCTTGAACGACCCAAAATGTGGAATTTGATTAGTTTGTTGTGTGTAAGTGCCATGGCAGCACTCGCTTCAACAGCAAAAGTGAAGCATACTTGTGTTTGCAAAATTGTTTACACACAATTCAAACAGCTGAGAGAGACAGCTAACAAATTTCTATACAAAAGTTCATTTTAAGTTATTATTACGACACTTGGGACTGGCAGCACTATTAATCAAATTTGTACTAATCTGAGAATCACCGAAATAGTTGATTCACTGCTTAGTTTCATTTTTGTGTGTAAATTTTTGTTGTAATCAACTACAAAGCAACGAATCAGTTGCCTGAATACCCCTAAATCTAAAAGGTTCAGGCTTATTGACGATCGATCTAGACTGCGTGCATAAACACAACTTCGTTTCCGTGCAACAGTAATCTTGGTAGTCTTGGTAAAATCTTCGAATTAAGGCTACAATCCCCTATGAAGACATCAGATGCTTACAGCAGCAACAGTACACTGTCAACATTATGCTACAACCAATACAATATTATTTCTAAATCCGAGTTTGAAAATTTTTAAATGCTTTTTTTTTCATTAGAAATATTTTAATCGTTTAATATTTTAAAATTTAAATTTGTAGTACCTAATATTGTAACTGGATTGTCAGTTATTCCTGTGAGTTCACATAGTTGTTCCCCTACAATGTCTTCATCATTTGTATAATGTTTATTACATATAGACACATCTACGCCAATATCTAACAAGAATTTTAATTTTAATTTTATCTTAAGTCTGTAGTATAATATAATTGGGTATTGATTATTTATTATCATTTTTTATCCCGCGAAGCCAA